AACGTCATGCCACTTCCTCTGGCCTTCATGGTTTCCAGCGAGAAATCCACTGTCATTTGAACCGCTTTTCTCCAAAAATAATTTGTCAGTTCTCTCTTGCTGCTTCCATGGATTTTTTGGGCTTATACTGTTTGGGGTTTGCTCAGCTTCTTGAATATATAGGTTTACATCTTTTTGCCGAATGATGGATATTTTATGTCATTACTTCAGTTTCCTGGAACAGCAGTGGTGTGTGGGAGAGTTTCAGGGGTGACAGAACCGCAGCCCAGACTGGGGGGGACCTGGGAGGAGCTGGGTGGGGGCCAAGCAAGCGCCTGAGGAGCCCAGGGCTCAGGGCTCCAGGCAAGATCCTACTGTGCCCTGTGCCTTCAATCCTTTCATTTCCTTTTAAAGTATATTTAAATAGAAAAAGGGAGTTAATTAAAAAAAAGTATTAAGGGCCGGCCCCGTGGCGCACTCGGGAGAGTGCGGTGCTGGGAGCGCAGCAACGCTCCCGCCGCGGGTTCGGATCCTATATAGGACTGGCCGGTGCGCTCACTGGCTGGGTGCGGTGCGGGCGACACCACACCAAGGGTTGCGATCCCCTTACCATTCACGAAAAAGACAGAAAAAAAAAGTATTAAATAAAAATATCCATATAGGGCCGGCCCGGTGGCGCACTGTTGTAGTGCGCCGCTTGGGAAGCGCAGCGGCGCTCCCGCCGAGGGTTCGGATCCCACATACAGACCGGTTCCCGCTCACTGGCTGAGCGAGGCGCGGGAGCAACGCCGAGGGTTGCGATCCCTTTGCTGGTCCCAGTCCGGTACGGGGGCGACACTGAGGGTTGCAATCCGTTGCCGGACACGGAAAAAGACAAAAAAAAAAAAAAAAAAAAAATCCATATAGATGTTGTGCAGATATGGCAGAACTCATGAGTGGTCCACGAATAAAGTCTGGGAGACACTTTACAACCCTGCAGATGGTGGCTAAGCCTCTGCTCAGCATGCTGGGAGAGGAAGCTCAAACAGTGTTGTGCATCCCAACTGCTGGGAATTCTGCGTATTCTGAGCTGAAATCTGCTTTCCCATAACCACCTCTCCTGATCCAAGTTCTGTGCTTTGGAATAACATCTAATTCACTTTTCTATGTGTGAGCCTTTCGCTGTCTAAATAGCATTAATGAAAAAACTGAATTCAGGTGCTTTTCACCTGCTATACAAGGGGTCTTCAAAAAGATCATGGAAAGATTTGTACTATATTTTAACTCTATTTTTCCATGAACTGTCTGAGGCAGCTCGTACTTACTTACAACCCTTGCTCACACGATGTGGGTTACAGATCCTGCAGTGCCCCTGGAAAGCCTAAGCCTAACAATTTGCCATTCTCTCTGTTCAAAAACCTTTCCTGGGCCGAGCCCGTGGCGTACTCGGGAGAGTGCGGCGCTGGGAGTGCAGCAGCGCTCCCGTCGCGGGTTCGGATCCTATATAGTGATGACCGGTGCGCTCACAGCACTCACTGGCTGAGCGCGGTGTGGCCGGTCTCAAAAAGGACAAAAAAAAAAAAAACCTTTCCCGTTCAGATGCCACCCATCCCTCAAGGCCCAGGGGAAATGCCATCTTATTTATGAAGTCTTTTCTTGGTTTTTCTAACCAGATATGTCCCAAAGCCAATAACATTGGGTCCAACTTTATTCTTTTGTAAATGAGTATTCATTTATCCCAACACTTTTTTTTTTTCAGCTGGCAGGTACAGGGACCAAACCTTGGACCTTGGTGTTATCTGTACCACACCATAATCAACTGAGCTAATTGCCAGCCCTGGACTCTCAATTCCATTCCTTTGATCTATATGTTTATCCTTGTGCCAGTACCACATTGTCACACCATCTTATTACTGCTATGTAGTATGTTTTTAAATCGGGAAGTGTGAGTTCTCCTTCTTTGTTCTTTTTCAGAAGTTTCTGGCTCTTCTGAGTCTCTTGCAAGTCCACTGAATTTTAGGATCTGCTTGTCAGTTTCTATAAAGAAGTCAGCTGGGATTCTGATGGAGTTGATTTGACCCTGTTGATCAATTTGAAGAGTATTGCCATCTTTAAAATGTTAAATCTTCCCATCCATGAACATGGGACGTTTTTCTTTTATTTAGATCCTCTTTAATTTCTTTTAACAACAATTTGTAGTTTTCAGAGTATATGAATATAAAATGAAACCAGAAATTACTTTGAGATGAATGAAAATGAACATACAACATATGAGAACTTATGGAATACAGCTAAAGCAATGCTTAGAGGGAAATTTATAGCTATAAGTGCCTATACTAAGGATGAAGAAAGATCTCACATCAATAACCTAACATCCCACCTCAAGATACTGGCAAAAGAAGGCCACTTCTATTCACCATCGTACCAAAGATTCTAGCCAAAGCAATTAGATAAGAAAATGAGATAAAAGGCATCCAGATTGGGAAGAAAGAAGTAAAACTATCTCTGCTTCCATATGACATGATTTTGTATGTGGAAACTCCATGGAATTAAAAAACTATTAGAACTAATAATTGAGTTCACCAAGGTTCCACGATACAAGATCAATATACAAAAATCAATTGTATTCAATACACTTGCAATGAACAACTGAAAATTAAATTAAGAAAACAATTTCATGCACAAAAAGAATTAATGCTTTTTCCAAAACGTATATAGTAAGATCTCTCAGAGGCCAGTGCAGAAGAAAGGTGGGACTTTCCCCCATTCCAAGTCACCCACAAGGGGAGGCTGACGGTCCATCCGGCCTCTGGTGCCCTCCTCTGGTGGAGGGAGCCCGGCGCGCGGGAGGAGGCCACTCCCGGGACGCCGGCCAGGCCCCAGGTGCACCGCGCGGGGGGCCGCGTCAGGACCTGCGAGGGCCCTTCCTCCGTGAGAAATACTTACCGTGCTGTTTAATGATCGTGCTGGTGTACAGACGAGTATCACCCAAGCCGGGTTCATTACTGTTCTATTTCGCTTCTCCTTACTTTCACGGAAACAGACATTGGCCACGTGCCAGGCGAGTGCAAGGGCTCCGAGGTGGCGGCGGGGGCCGGGGTCAGCTTGAGGCCTGGCACCATCCTCCCCTCCGCAGGGCTCTGGGACGTGGGGGGCGGGGCGCCGGGGCAGCG